GAGCAGGAGAGTGTGGAGGGAAAGATCCCAGGGAGCTCACCAGAGCTCCAATGAGTTCCAGTGCAAAACGCCAAGATTTCCATGAGCTTGGAATAACCATCCCAGTACTTTAGAAATGACATAATACAAAGATCCTGGAAACATCTGTGAATAAAATAATGTCCTAGGAGACGATTACAGTTTGTGGAAAAGGATCCAAAATTAGTATTTTCTACCTATACCGGTGTGTTTTATTTCAGTTGTATTTGCAATTGGAGTAATTATCCCTCAGTATTGCACATTATAGAAGAGCAAAGAGGGCTGGGAATGCCGTTGCATTTGAGACAGACTGATCTCTATGTCCTTTCTGACAATTCATTTCAGCCTATTTTTGCTTAAAAGTAATTATTTAGATACGCTGAGAGTAAAACAAGATTATGGAATTGAAACATACTCAGTGAAAGTATTTTTCTTCCAGTTTTATGTACCTACCTGCAAGGCACAGCAAAGTTGTCTGGCCACCAGGCCAGATATCATGCTGACAAGGATAGTTTGAAGTCGGTTGTCTATTTAATGCACTTTGGATTCATTATTTCACCTACTTCTTCACGAATAATGTCAAGGTATCTGTTTCTGAGCAAACTAGGTGAGGGAGAACTGATAATTAATGGAGTGAAATCCTCTTGTTACCAGCCATGCCAGGCCAGCTTGGTCCAGGTTCAGGTTTGTGATATTGCCCCAGTAACCATGAATCTGCCAGCTTGGAGCTGAGTTCCAGGTTCAGGTTTAAAATAGTGCCCTAGTAACCATGAACCTGCTTTCTGGCTTGGTACATGTGTTTTTTGTCCAAGTGACTTTACAGTAAAAGAAAAGTCAGAAGGCAAACATTGCACAGCTGAGAACATCTCATGTTTGCATTTTTCTGTCGGCTGAGACCATCTGCCTCTTTCCCACTATTACAATGTGTTTTTTGTTTGTTTCAGCTGTTTTGGGTTTTGCTGTAACATTGCTCACTTGCTCCAGGTACTGTGTGCTGCCAGTCCTTCCATGCATCTCTGCATCAAAGTCTGTCTCTTTTCTTTTTCTTCTGAGACACCACTTCTGTTTTTTTTTTTCCTTCTGTTCTTTGTGTTCCTCTTTCATTAGTATGTCTCTTCTTACTGTCTTTTGGATTGTCAGAGTTTTATGCTACGTGGGGAGATTGGAGAGGTTATTTTCATGGGAGGTGGAAAATCAAAACCAACAAATCTACAGATAACAAGCTGCTTTTTTGTCTAGGTGCCAGGTCAATATATATCTCTCCATATTCACCTTTTGGGCTAAATAGTGATCAACCAATCTTAGCCTGGCTTTCTATATATGAAGACTTCAAAAACAAGTTAAAAAGCTTGTGCAGTCATTCTGAATACCTTTATGCAATGGCACAAGGATATTGCAGGAGGTGTTTTAGCTGTTTTAGATCTTTTATTCATTTATTTTTCTTCTTCTTTCCTGCAGTATAACCTCTTTATGTTAGAAACTATCCCGTTTAATATCCCTAAGGAGCCAGAAGCTGTCACTTTTGAGACACCCTTTGGGAAGTTTGGCATCTTCACTTGCTTCGACATACTTTTCCACGACCCTGCAGTGGTTCTGGTGAATGAGTTACAGGTGGACACTGTGTTGTTCCCAACTGCTTGGATGAACGTCTTGCCTTTTCTGACTGCTGTTGAATTTCACTCTGCCTGGGCTATGGGCATGGGTGTCAATTTACTTTCAGCAAATACGCACAATATCAGCATGGAAATGACAGGTAATTAATTTTAACTGAATAATCATGAATCTTTTTCATCATTAAATCATTTTCAGGCCTGTTGAAAAAAAATGCTGCTAATAATGCAATATCTCTTAACAGTGTGATGCTATGTTTTTTTAAAGTTTAGTTTATGGAATAATATTTATTATCCAGGTAAGTATCTTCCCTCTGTTTTGAAATCACAGTATTGCCTGGAGTTTCACCTTTGAAATGCCTAACAGTCAGCAGTTTGTTATCTATATTATGTGACTGAGGGTCGCAATGCTCTTTGGCAATGTTAGGTGTGACATATGTCCCCCTGTAATTGCACTGATTTCCCTCCCTCATTCAACACTGCTCAGGCAGGAATTCCCCATGCAGGGAGGAATTATCAACTGGTCTAAACTTTCCTTTCAAGTCCATCAGCATAGGCCTCTGATACTTGTTTAAATTGTGTTTTGGATGTTCCCAGCTAGTGAATGGTCCTTTTTCATCAGCCAACCCAGAACGGAGGCATTCACATGCAGCTCTGTGTATAGGAGAAAAGAGAACTGGGGAGGATATAGATAAAGCCATAAGGTAACCCTCTGCCTTTTGTCTACACTAAGCAGCCCTCATGAATGAGGAGATGCAAATGGTATTCCTTGCCAAAGCATGATTTCTGTGAACTGGGTTGTTAAAATTTTCCTTTGGAGACATTAAAGTTTCTGCAATACTTATAAAATGGTGAATATACTATCAGTGGATCAACTAAAAGGACTATATGAAATATTTGATTCCTGCTCTCCTCAGGGAGTGGTATTTATGCACCAGATGGAGCCAGAACATATTATTACAATATGAAAACAGAGGATGGTCATCTCCTTGTTACTGAACTCAGTTCACATCCTCGTCTTTCTCCTGCCTACCCTTCTGCTATCAACTGGAGCTCCTATGCTTCAAGTGTCAAGAGATTCTCAGCAAATGACCACGATTTCAGTGGGCTCATCTTCCATGACATGTTCACTTTCACTGAGCTCACTAAGTCTGAAGGGAATTTCACAGTTTGCCAGAAAGATCTCTGCTGTCACTTGAGCTACAAGATGGCAGGAACACAAGAAGATGAAGTTTATGTATTAGGTGCCTTTGATGGACTTCATGTTGTTGAAGGTCAATACTACCTGCAGGTAAAGATTTCTTTTGAGGGTTATTATTTTAAGAAGTTTCTTTACTGGGAGAAACCTTCTGCTCCCGGGATGGGGGGAAGGACCGTGACTTTCTTCCCGTGTTCTGTAGCTCCAGAGTCCTATTTGTTAGCAAGAAGTAGTTACTGAAA